GGGGGGGGGGAACAAAGGTTCTGCATGCTTCATTAGTTGATATTTTTGAAAGACACTTCCCTATACTTTCTTGTTCCCCAAATTCCTATTCCCTCATGAAGAAGATTATATATAAAACATATATAAAAGTTAGTCTCATTAGAAATGTTATCCCCAAAATTGTAGATTAGAACTTACTTTAAGGAATTTTAAAATTCCAGAAAGACAATTTTTCCTGCTAGTTATATGCTCCAAAAAATAATACGTTTGACAAAGTCCTTTCATCTTTAATGCAATATGTAAACAATTATCTCTATGATCATTGTTTTTCAGCTGTAAAATTCTATACATACACTCAAGTACGGACCTTGAAGAAGAGCTAGTGAAATCAAGAATTTTGTATGAAAGCTTTAAAATGCAAGTTTTAAATGCTAAAAAAGAAATAAAAATTCAATCTTTCCCCCAAATCCCAATGAATTCAAATATAAAACTTTTACACACTATATTTAAGTTTTATTTAAAGAGCAAAGTATCCTTCTTGAAAAAAGCTCAATTTGCCCATTTTCCATTTTCATTCATAATCATTTTTACAGTTTGTTCTTAATGAAATTCTTATGTCTTAATACAAATACCTTTTCCAAAATGGCATTTAGTGAACTATGTATGCCTTAGCTAAAAGCTAAGAGGAAAGAAAATGGAAACCTTTGCAGGCGCAAGAGTTACAATATCAACTATACTTAACTATTAAAAACCACCACTGAAGACTTGTGGTGAAACATACAAGTAAGTACCTGTGGTCCAGCACAGCTGATCTTACAAACATCGCAATAGTGAATCTGGGGTGGTTTGGGAGGCTGTTTTGGTTTCAGTTGCTTATTTTGGAATGGTGCTTTTTTAGTAAAGGTGGTCCCTGTCCAGGCAGCTGTTGCGGCAGCAGCAGCAGCTGCTGCTGCTGCCTGCTTCTGTTGCTGCTGCTGCTGTTGGTAGTAGGAGGATGCAGCTGAATACACTGCTGCTTCATAACCTGAATAAGATGTACCTTATAAACAAAATAAAACAAAGATAATGTTACATAATTATAAAAGGCCAAGTGAAATGTTATGAATTTAAATTCAATAAATTCTGCTAATAAAGGTAGGTTCACACATGCATATTTACAAATAATGCACATTTCACAAACCTAGAAAACATTTATCTTCATTTTATATGTAAGTGTAAGTCAATCACCAAGTATTTCCTCACCACATACTAGGCGTTATGGGGGTTTAAAGGAAGTACAAGGTTGGACATTTGGTCCTTATCTTCAAGAAGTTTATAGCTCGGGGGAGGAAAGTCTCTTTCTAATATCTTTATTTAAACACTGTTTATCAGTCTTACCAGAATAAGTAACTGCTGTGGTACTGTAAGTAGCACTCTGGGTGTAGGATGGCACCACAGTAGCTGCAGCTGCTACTGGCTGTACGGTAGAAGATACAGGATAAATGGAGAAAGTAGTGGTAGCTGGACTTGGTGTCGCTGGTTTTATGGCTGTCACTTGTCGAGTTTGCTGGGCTTGTGTATACTGAGTTGCACCTTGGCTATAACCTGCTTTGGGGGCTAAATAGAAAAAGAGATATCAGAAAATCAGAAGGATAAAACCACTTATAGTATTCACTTTACTGCGCTGGTCTGGAACCAAACCCACAATAATATTTCCAAGGTATGCCTGTAGTTGCTGTACCAACACCCTGGAAAGCTAGAAAAAGTAGGTTAAAGTTAACTGTAAATTAGATGCCAGCAATTTCTTCTTGCCAAAAGGGGTAAAATTCTTATTACCAATTGAACAAAATATAACATCTATATAAATTACTACCCCATCCCAGATGCTTTCCACATATTTCCAAAGTAATATTTTGTAAAAACTTACAACTAACTGAAATAGCAGTTCTACTTAACACAGGTATTAATAAATAAACTTTTTGGCCCAGCTGGCGGGGATCAGTGGTTGAGCGCTGACCCATGAACCAAGAGGTCAGGGTTCGATTCCCAGCCAAGGCACATGTCCAGGTTGCAGGCTTCATCCCCACAGGGGGCATGCAGGAGGCAGTTGAACAACGACTCTCATCATTAATGTTTCTGTCTCCCTCTCCCTTCCTCACTCTGAAATCAATAAAATAAATAAGTAAATAAATAGTTTTTGGAAAAGGTCTGTAGGTGTGTTTAGGCTAGTCAGTCTACCTGACAGTTATGCTTAATATTGGAAATAGAACAGAGAGAGCCTTAAAGTACATATTTCAATTCACAGTAAAAATGTCAAAGTTTAATTATATGGGACTTGTTCATGTACCAGTTATCACATCTTACTGATTTATTCGTAATTCCAACTCACAAGGGGCTGACAGTTCTTCAAATGCAATAGCCTGAGTGCAGCTATTCTTAAATGGCTACCATTAATGTCTCTGCTAAACTTTCTTCTACCTTTGACCATATTCGAAATAAATCTTAGGAGCCTTAGTATCAATCATTGAATTAATAATCACTAATTAACGATCACTAAAGCATACAAACGTAATTTCTAAGGCCCAAATACCAGGGGGCCAAACTCATTTTATGCTCAGTTACGTAAAGGTAGCTTAAATAAATAGCGCTTAAAGAGTTTATAAAACTTTTTTGGGGGGTGGGAGAGAGAGACATTGATGTGAGAGAGAAACATCAACTGGCTGCCTCCCGCACACACCCTGACTGGGGATAGAACTCACAACCTGGGTATGTACCCTGATCAGGAATCAAACCTGACACAAAACAACTGAGCCACACTAGCCAGGGCAGGAGTTTATAAAGCTTTTTGAAAACATTTTGAAAGTCAAAACTAAAATTACGTAGTTAATGTCAGAACTCAGACTAAATCAGGGTCTTTGACTCTTAGGTAACTCAATAATTTTAAGCAAAATCCAACCCTGATAATTAACCAGGAAGTTTACTATTGATTGCTGTACTGCAAATCAGAGATGAGACTAAGAAAATTCAGGATTTTAATTCAAAATATTTTAAAACCACTTTTAAAAAACACATAAAATCTTAGAACTAGAAGTAACCTAACATCGATGTTTCTCTCCCCTGCCCTTCACTCTCTCTGAAAAGCAATGGAAAAAATATTCTTGGGTGAGTATTAAAAAAACAACAAAAAAGTTTGCAGGTTCGATCCCTGGTCAGGCGTGTGGAAGGCAGCAGATCAATGTTTCTCTCTCTCTCTCTCTCTCCCCCTCTCCTCTCTTCCTTTCTTACTAAAAATCAATAAAAACATATCCTCAGGTGAGGATTTTTTAAAAAAAATCTGAAAGATGTCAAATCTCCATGAAAAAAAAATTCATCTTTTAAAGACTACTAATGTGTTGGATTCTTTGACAACGAAACACTTCATGCGTTTGAGCCAAACGTAATATTGGTGGCTGGTTACAGAACCAACTGTCATTACATATCAGACAAAGATGCCTTAAAAAATATGGACCCACAAACGGTCTCCACTGGTTACAAAGGCCGTCAGCGGTATGTTCTGGGCATTTCTGGCAAAGATAAGAAGGTGGCCAGAAGTTAGCACAACTTCTTTTGTATAGCTTACTTCAGCAGGAAGTGAATTGTAAGCTGAAGACCAGAAATGAAATACATTTCTAGGAGAGAAGGGCACGACTATGAATTACTTCCATGACCTTCTCTTTGGGACTCAAAGGCATTCTAGCAGAGGAAGAGAACGACATGGCTAGACCCTGCCTCTTCAGGTAATATAACACAATGAGTTTAGATGAACTCCAAAGCATATTTTCATTAAAAACACCCTAAATAATATATTTCAATAGTTTACAATGAAACTGTGTATGTTAATAAAACCTACCTGTCTGATAGTAGGTTTCAGCAACAGAAGGCTGAGGCTGGGCAGCAGCAGCTACAGCAGCAGCAGTTGCTGTTGGTTGTTGGTAGTACTGCTTACTATCGTAAGCTACAGCAGGAGCTGTGGATCTTACATATGAGTACGAGTCCTAAGGAAAAAGAATGAAAGAAAATCTTGCTATGAGTGAAGATGCTTAGTAAATGCCCCTCATCTTTATTATATAAAAGTATAATAAAGGAAATTAAAAAAATAAATATATATTTAGACCTAGACATAAGAGTCAAATTCAATTACAAAGGGGATTCATTTTGGATTTCACTAAATAAGGTCAAAACCATTTCAAGCAGCATAACTTTCAAAATCAGAAAAATTACGAAAAACACTTAAAAATAATGCTTATTTTATTGGTTTTCAGTGAAGTGATTTTTTTAAAAAAATTATCTTTATTGTTGAAAGGATTACAGATATCCCCTTTTTCCCCATTGACCCCTTCTACCCTACACCACCCCGCCCCAGGCCTTCACCACACTACTGTCTGTGTCCATGGGTTATGCAATAAAAATAATGCTTATTAAAAAAAATTTTTTGAAAAATTCATGGCAGTTTTTTCTTAAAGATGGATTCCATAGTAAAGAACACCTGTGTTCTAAACTTTGTGATTGCTCCAGCTTTCTTTTCACTCTTCCTTATTTACTACTGCCATTAACAAAGTAATGAATAGGAGCTTCCAAATGGAGGAAAGGGGAAAGGAGGTGTCACGGAGAAGGCACATTATCTATAAATCTCCAAGGCAATGAAGATCAAGGTGAGCTGGGTAAATTCTGATACTGCATAAAGTGAGGGATGGGAAGGCATTCAGGTAGAAAGGATGAAGGAGTAGGCAGGGTGCAGGAAAAGATGGGCTTCATATATCCTATTAAAAAATGGAATTTATTATATTCTGTCTCTGGACATAATGAAAATAGTAACAAAAGTCAAAAGAAATTCCGTGTTTAGTAACTTGCCAAATATTAAAGCAAATGCTAATATTGTTGATTTACAATGTCAATTTCTTAACAAAATAAATTTCTATAATTAGGAAGAATATAGAAAAGGTAGGCTAAGTCCAGAAGGATCAAAGTTTAAAAAATATCCTAAAAGCAAACAAAAAACAGGTTAATTTGCAGAGCAAAGGAAACCATCAACAAAATGAAAAGACAACCCACTGAATGGGAGAACATATTTGTCAATAATACATCTGATAAGGGGTTAATATCTAAAATGGATAAAGAACTTATATAACTCAACACCAAAAAAACAAACAATCCAGTTAAAAAATGGGCAAAGGACCTGAATAGACATTTCTCCAAAGAGGACACAGAAGGCCAATAAACATATAAAAAGATGCTTAACATCACTAATCATGAGAACTGCAAATTAAAACCACAATGAATATCACCTCACACCTGTCAGAATAGCTATCATCAATAAATCAATAAACAAGTGTTGGCAAAGATCTGGAGAAAAGGAACCCTCCTGCACTGTTGGTGGGAATGCAGATTGGTGCAGCCACTGTGAAAAGCAATATTAAGCTACCTCAAAAAATTAAAAATGGAACTGTCTTATGACCCAGCAATTCCACTTCTAGGAATATATTTGAAAAAACCTGAAACACTGATTCAACATAATATATGCAACCCTATGCTCGCTACAGTGTTATTTACAATAGCCAAGATTTGGAAGCAGCCCAAACGTCCATCAGTAGATGGATGGATAAAAAAGCCGTGGTACATTTACACAACGGAATACTACTTGGCCTTAAAAAAGGAAATATTATCCTTTGTGACAGCATGGATGGATCTGAAGAGCATTATGCTAAGCGAAATAAGCCAGTCAGAGAAAAGACAAGTACATATGATTTCACTCATATGTGAAATCTAATGAACAAAATAAACAAAATAGAAACAGACTCACAGATACAAAAAAACAGACTGAGGGCAGTTAGAGGGAAGGAGTGAAAAAGGTGAACGGATTAAGCTAAGCAAAGGAAAACAAAACAAAACAAAACAAAGATACCTCATAAACACAGACAACAGTATGATGTTTATCAGAGGGTAGGGAGAGATGGAAGAGTGTGAAAGGGGGATAAACGATGATGGAAGATTTGACTTGGGCTGATGAACACACAACATAATGTACAGATGATGTATTAAAGAATTGTACACCTGAAACCTGTATAATTTTACTAACCAATGTCACCCCAATAAATTCAATAAAAATAAAATAATAGGTTAAAGGAAATTAGGACCAAATTTAATTAAATAATCACATAGTAATTTAGTGCCATAATAAACATAATAATGAAGATGATTAGACCTTTATGTCCCCATAGGGCTGAACAAAAACCAACTAGATGAATTAGAGGAGGATCATTTTCTGTTACATACTAAGAAAGAACACCTTGAGGAAAAGATAGTACAGACACCAGAAATTCCACCCTTGGCAAGTTTCAAGACGACACTATAATTTGTTTATCCTGTATAGCTTAGGCTCGTGGTTCTCAAAATAGGAGACACAGCTGTCCTGCAAGTGGACAAATAATACCACAGTAAAAACAAAGAGCATTTTCCCTGTATCTTAATTTTTCTCAAAAGATATAGTGGAATAGACCGGGGGTAGATTATGAATATAAAACTCACAAGGAAACTTAATGCTTGGACTATGCCCTTAAATTACCTAGGAATACACATTTACTTTTCTCTATCATTACAGGTATATTTTGAAAGATCCAAGTTTGAGAAGCACAGGCTTAGACAGCATATCATACATTGAGGATACTGAAGTCTGAATGTTAAGGCTACTGAAACTAATAGTTTTCTTACCTGGTAGTTTTGTGTAGTAGCTGGCGGTGGGGGCGGGGGTGCTTCTTGTTGTCTCTGGGTATAACCATAATCTGTTGCTGTGTGTGCAGTGGGGTAGCCTCCATAAGCAGCAGCTGTTGCAGCAGCTGCAACAGCTACAGGAGCAGGCCTGGCAACTGCAACTGTGGCAGCTGCTGGTGCATAGGCAGCAGTAACTGTGTGAGCAGCTACTGGAGCCTGATGGACAGTGTAGCTAGCAACTGTAGTTGGATGCGAGTAGGCTACACCCGAAGCTGGCTGCTGGCTATAATGTGAAGAAGAATAGACATAATTCAATTTATTAAAATCAGGGTTTAATCAATTTAAATAAAAAGTACATATTCAAGGAATTTACTCATGGACTACAAAAGACCCAGTATTTTATTTGAACTTAATAAACCTCCCAATCAATACCATATTTGTTATTGTTATGTAATTTTCACTCCTAAATCTCAATACATTAGATAGTCACATATTATGTTTCAGATCACAGATCATATCGCAAAGCAGGGATGACAAACTGGGATAAGGAGCAGTATTAGGAAGAAGAGAAATTGATCAAACACGGAATTTTTAAAAATACTTGTTGTGCATGAAGTTCTTTATTACACTCTTCAGTTTTTTTAACATCTCTACAAAGAGATGTTAAGAAAAATATTGTATTCTAACTCCAATTATGAAAAACATTTAAGGTAAAAACTATTATCCAGCTGACTTAAGAAGTACTTCTGCTCTATCTAGGGCAGTGATTCTCAATTGGGGGAGATTTTGCGGCCCCAGCTTCCCCTGCCCTGGGGACATTTGGCCATGTCTGGAGGTATTTTTGATGGTCACAACACAAAGTTGGTGGTGATGTGTGCTACTGACATCTAGCGGGGAGAGGCCAGTGATGCTGTTACATATCCTACAATGCACAGGATAGCTACTCACAACAAAGAATTATGCAAAGAATGTCAATAGTGCTGAAGTTGAAAAATATTCTAGGGTATAAAACCTACAATGCAGTATCTATTATTTTAGATAAATTTTCCAGATTATAGGCAGAATTTCATCACACAAATTAATTTTTCTCTTTAAAATGTAGCAGATGTTGCAAAAGGAGACCTAAGTCAGATGTTTTGCAACCATAACCATTTAAAAACCTTGAAGAGGCAAAAATTTTCCAAAACTCTAAGTCAAAAATTTTGCAAAGTTCTTAATTTTTATTTTAACCTGTAAATTGAGAGCCTATGCCACATAAAACCAAAGGCCTAAAGATGTTGGAATATTAATAAGCTTATTTGTTGTTCTATGACATCTGAGTAACACACTCACAGTTACGTGCTAAGGCACTATTACCAAGACAGAAATGCCTTCTAAAAAAAGAGAGAAAGCTCCAACAGTTACTTAGCTGACAGTGTTGTTTAGCTGACCATAAGTTTTAATATGACTCAGCAGTTAAGAATAGTACAGGGTATTCTTCACTAGTGTTCACAATACCATAGAACTGTGGCATAGAATTAAAATTTGGGGCCATAATATTTTAACTGTATTATAGAAATCACAGGTAATTAGGAATTATTAAAAGGGAATCAATATGAAGCTTTTAAGTATGAAAATCATTTCATATAAAATGTGGAGGACCTGGCAACATTCAGTCTAGAAAAGATGACTGAGGAAGATATGATAGCTGCCTTCTAATAGAAGAGACTTACTCCATGCTGCTCCAGAGAACAGAACTAGAACCAATGGATGGAAGGGTGGCAGAATTCAGCCCAATATGAAAAAGAAAAAAAAACAAAAACTTAGAACAGTCCAAAGAAACTCATTTCTATTTGGATGAGGTTTTTCATATTGATATTATTTGATATTAAAATTAGCTAACATTTGCTACATATATGCCAATTATAAGACAGGAAAAGGTAAGTTTAAATTGTAATAACGGGAAACTGGTTTGGGATTGACATTTTCTATGGATAATTACACATTCTTAAGAAAAAATGTCAGTAACATATTATGCTTCTTGAAAATTCCTAGAGCTAGGAAAAAGAATTATATTTAAAATATAAATACAGCAGTTCTGTGAAACTTGTATTTAACATTTACTGATAAGATTCCACACATTCAGACCTACACTGCATACATAAAAGGGGTTTTGGTTCTGTAAAAATTCAGATAATCCTGGATTCCGATATTATTTCCATTCATCCCCACTGCTATTGATCAAGTACCTGTCACATTTCTTTCGCCCCAAAATGTGTCCTTTTGTATAAAAAGCAGGGTACGAATAGAATAGGAATGCCAAGTCAACCAGGCAATTTCACTTATACTGTCTCTTACACACTTAAAAGCCCATGCGACTCACGATGGGATGACCATATGCTCTGGTTTATGGCCACTGCCCCAGCATAATTATTAATAGTATTCTCACTCTCAGTGTCTCAGTATGAACAATAAATTTTACAGTCATCCTTCCAAGAAACCATATAAAAAGATGCCAGTGCACTTAGCAATTACCATATACATCTCTAAGGCTGCTTAACCGAACTCTGCTCTGTACAGTCAGGTCCGTACCCATCATCTGTGCTGACAATATCCTCCACCAAAAGCATCACGAACAATGATGATCCAGTCCCAGTTTCCAGGGGGTCAAGGCTAGGGTAGCTGACTACTTGCTGTTCAGAATAAAGACTCTCAGAGTATTGTCTTAAACCCATTTGGGAATTTCTCTTTCAGTTTCAAATATCCTTAGAAAATTGTCCTTTATTGTCCTTTATGTGACATAGATGACCAGACTGGACTATACCAATTCAATTAAGTATCCAGTGATTAAGTCTAAAGTTAATTTAAAAAAATTCAGGTCAAATAAAGTTCAAATTAATTTAAGTAAAATTTGTCTTAAGTGGAAATAGTTCAAATCAAGGTTTTTGCCTAGCTCTGAATAGAATAAAAGGTGTTAAATTATACCCCTACATAAAATGTAAGACTTACTATCTTTAAATTATTTCTTAAATAAAGCAGGATAACCCAAATAAAGTAAATAACCCAAATGTTATGCCTTAAAAATAATTTGTGAAATATGAGAAGACTTTCATTTACTAAGCATCCAGTAGAGTGGAAGCTTCTATTTAGATAATACCCTTTGTGAATAAATTAAATCTAACCAGCCTCAGTCAGTTTTTAACCAGGACAAACTAAATAATAAATAATAAAAGAAACATTAAAAAATAGGTAAAAAAGGTTAAGAAATAATTGAAAAATCAGACATAAAATGGAAGGATATTTCTCTCGGAAGAAAAAAGAGGAAAAGAAATGTTTCAGGGAATATTAAAGAGTAAAAACACTTTATATTCTTGGATTTAACCCAGACGTTAAATCTACCTGCTTACTAAAAAGTGAAGCCGGCTAGAAGTGCTTACCAAAATAGACAGCCAAAATTATCACATATTTAAATTGCATAAAAACAAAACAAAACAACACACCAAGAATGAGCCTGTGGGAATCAAACATTTTTCAAGGTAACAAGAAAAGAATTCTCAAAAACTCTAATGTGTATCCATATAACAAGAACTTTATGCTAGTTAGAAGATAAAGTTGAGGGATACAGATAAGATATGAAAACTATAAAAGAAGATAAATCTAAGAGGTCCAATATTCAACTAGAAGGAATTCTAGAGAGAAAAGAAAAAAGCAATGAAAGAAATTAAGAAATAAAATTTCCCACATTTAAAGGGAAGTACAAATTTTTCAAATTCAAAGGCCCTACACAGTGCAAAGCAGAATGAAAGAACCATGCCAACAGACATGCAGCATTTCACAACATCTCACGACAAAAAAAAAAGATCCTTTAAGTCTCCAGGGAAGAAAAATAGGTCACCTACACACAACTAAATGTAAATCAGTCTCTTAGTGATAACACTAGTGGCTAGAAGATAACAGGCTGTCTTGAAAATTCAAGGGAAAATGATTATTAATATAGAATTCTGTACCCAGCTAAACTATTAAGGAAGAATATAGATTTTTCTTGGCATTCAAGGACTGAAAGAGTTTACTTCCTATATACTGTTTCTTAGGGCACTACATGATGATGTATTTCAACAAAATACAAAAGCCCTACCCAGCCAGCATGGCTCAGCAGTTAAGCATCAACCTAGGATCCAGGAGATCGAGGTTCGACTCCTGGGCAGGGCACATGCCGGGGTTGTGGGCTCAATCCCCAGTGGGAGGCGTGCAGGAGGCAGCCTATCAATGACTCATCACTGATGTTTCTCTCTCTCTCTCCCTTCCTCTCTTTGAAATCAATAAAGATATAATTTTTAAAAAAAGAAAAGAAAAAAAACAACAGCCCTAGGCGGTTTGGCTAAGTCGTTAGAACATTGGCCCAAGGACAGAAAGGTCCCGGGTTTGATTCCGGCCAAGGGCACATACCTTGGTGCAGGTTCAATCCCTGGCCCTGGTCACGGTGCATTTGGGAAGCAATCAATCAATGTGTCTCTTTCACACCTATGTTCCTCTCTCTCTCCTTTCCACTCTCTCTGAAAAGCAATAAAAAAATATCCTCGGGTGAGAATTAAAAAATAAATAAAATACAATAAAAATTGTGAAATCCTGCAAACATGGATCCAAACCCAGGAGTGAGATGAAAGCCCAGGTTGCAGCTGTGTAGCAGCCCAGAGAGACAATGAACTTAGATTGGAATCAAAGGAAGGACAGAAGCCTCCAGGAGCAAGATGTTCTGGAAAGAGGGCTGGACAATAGACAGCAGGCTGGGAGACTGGAAATATTTTAAAATATAATCAAGGTACCAACAAGATTTGGGAGGGGGGGCAGGGGAAGGTAAGGAAAGACTTCTGGAAATATGAAACTACGTAAGAAAGGTATGATCCTGGTAAAAGACATCACAATTTGAGCTATTAGTAGGGCATAAAAAGGGAAAAATCATTTTAATTTGCGCCTAGGAAGATTCTTCTATTAAGTGGTACAGGGTTGTAAAAATGAAATAGGAATTACAATCATAAGACAGTACTTGGCTCACAGCAAATACTATTTACATGTGTAGTCATAATAGTGAAAAATTTTGCTTTAAAGTTTTATAATCAATCTATATTACAGAAGGTAAACTATGATTACAGAATACAATGTAACTGGTATCACAAGTAAAACTGTAGCTAAGTTGGGGAAAGGATGGAGAAAGAGGTAAAGAAAGCAAAGCACAAGAGTTTCAAGATTCTTTTCCTAAAATAGTACTGAGATACTGTCTACCTTTGATGGAACTAGAAATGGAGTGAACTGTTTATAGTAAGAGAAATAGCCGTTATCATTCAATCTGGGAGGAGAAATGAGAAGCAAGATAGAGTGTACTAATTCCTAACTATGATTGTAGGAAATCAAAATATAATGTAGACAAATTAAGACATGGAAAAGCATTTTTTTTTTTAATATATCTTTATTGATTTCAGAGAGAGGAAGGGAGAGGGAGAGAGAGAGAGAAACATTAATGACGAGAGAGTCACCGATCGGCTAGCCTGCAACCCAGGCATGTGCCCTGACTGGGAACCGAACCCCAATCGCCTGGGTCCTAGGTTGATGCTCAACCACTGAGCCATGCCTGGCCGGGCTGGAAAAGCATATTATTTAGTGATACAAAGTTTAGAAATAAAACCAGATTGTGTAGAATTGGGAAGCAGGGAGAAGGAAAATAAGGGAATGTTGTTTTCATATTCCCTACACTACTTTATCTTTAATTACATCATGTATTACTCTGGTGGGGAAAAAGTATAAAAGTATTAGAAGAGAATTCTTAAACTGGCAACTTGGATGACTAACAAACTAAACCCAAATTTAAATACTGCTCTCTAGTTGTTCCAACTCGACTCTAACTTCTACATTTCTGTCCTCAACCCTAACATATATTCAACTCTGAACCCATTTTTAACGCTTTTAAATTCCACTACTATGATCTAGCTTTACATTATACTAAACTTATAGTCACTAGTGAAATTAACTTATGTATACAAATAGCTTGTCCATATAAGTGGCATCTGGTAACACTTATATACCTCCTTTAGTTTCTGTATAACAGTGGTTCTCAAAATGTGATCCAAAGACCATGAAGGGACTCTAAGGGATCTTTCAGAGGGTTAAGTTTTCCCTTTTTCAGTTACAGACTGCCTTCACATATTTTAATCCAAACAATTTATTACAACAGACTGAATGCAGAAACAGATTTTTGAGAATCCAACCATCATAACTGAGATACTAAAAGGATTTGTAAAAATGTAAAACAATGCCTCTCATCTCTCACTACTTTTGGGGAGGTAGGAATATAGGTATTTTTCATAATGACATTTTTAGTTAGCATACAGTGATTTATTATTCTTATTTTAAGATGGTTTGATAAATACTTTTTAAATTTTATTATAGTATTATATAACCCATATAAACAAAAGCTCTTTGGGGTCTTCAATAATTAGAAGTGTTAGAGGGGTCCCAAAAATCAAGTTTGAAAACTGCCATTTCATGAAGAACATTCACCGAGCAGTCAACTTTCATTTTCCTTTTTAATTACCTTTAAGCAAAATGTTTCCTTCTATCCAACAGGGAAACAGTGTTAGTTCTCAGGGAAAAGGAGCAGTGCATGAGTGACCAGAGCCCCAACTCTGTCACCTGCAGCTGCACTATCCTTACTCAGGGCTCCAAATCTCTCAGTTTACCTAGTGTGCTGCTGTACAAATACCATCTTCTGTGTCAGCAGACACATTAAAAGCACGGGGAAGCAATGGCCTAGAACTCTGGGACTCACACAAGAAACCAGCATGTAGGGTGAATTAGAGAAAAGCCTACTACTTCCTCCTTTAAGAGAGAACTATAAGGAAACTTTCTTGTCTCAGTCCTGGCTCTGGGTAAAGAGGGGAAAGTCTCTCCTGATGATGGTAACCACAAACCACCCTCCCCTTAGGTTTGGGCTCTGGAATTCACATTATCTAAACAGGAAAACTCTAAGCCGAGAAGTTAATGAATCTCTGGGATGGCAGTGTTTCCAAGTGCCACAAAATGCATAGTCCTATCCAAATGCTACAATGTTCCAAAAAACAAGAGATCACAATAAAAAAAATCACAACAAAACCCATAAGGAAACAAGTTACAATGAGCAAGCATTTGCAGAAAAAATTTTTTGAAAAGACGAAAAGTATTAGAATGACTGAATATAAAATATAAAATAAGTACACTTAAAGTAGTAAGAGGCTATCAAAACTAAGATCAAGGACTAAAAGACTGATCAAAAACAACCAGATAATTTTTTTAAATCCTCACCCAAGGATGTTTTTATTGACTAAATTTAGAGGGAGAGGAATGGGGAGAGAGAAACATCAAAGTGAGAGAGAAACATTGATTGGCTGCCTCCCATATACGTCCCAACTAGGGATCGAACCCACAGCCGAGGTATGTACCCTGACCAGGAATTGAACCCACCACCTTTTGGTGTACAGGACAATGCTCCAATCAACTGTGAGCCCTGGCCAGGACCATATACATTTTTCACAAAACCAAAAAGAATGAAATACTGTATATTAAAAATTATCATTAGAAACTCTGAAAGGCATTACATAACCGATTAGACATGCCTGGCAAAAAATTAGTGAACTAGAAAGTACCTATAAAAATTACCTAGAATGTGCAGAGAGACAGAGATGTAAAATATTAAGGGTTGTCCTAGTCAGTGTGGTTCAGTGGTTAGAGCACCGGCCAACGGACTGAAGGGTCCTCGGTCTGATTCCGGCCAAGGGCAAGTGCACATGGGTTGCAGGCTCGACCCTCAGCCCTGGTCAGGGTGTATTTGGGAGGCAACCAATCAGTGTCTCTCTCTCACATCGATCTTTCTCTCTGTCTCTCCCCCTCCCATTCTCTCTGAAAAGCAATGGAAAAAATATCCTCGGGTGAGGATTAAAAATAAATATATATGTATATTAAAAATATATGTATTTAAGGTTAAAAGACCTGGAGGATAGAATAAAAAGTGGTAACATATCTAATTAGAGTTGCAAATGAAGAAAAACGGGAGAGAGGAAACATCTAAAGAGAATGTCTGAGATTTCCCAGAGTTAATAAAAGATAAAAACTCTCAGATTCAGGAGCCCAAACAAACCCCAAATAGTAATAAATTAAAAGGAATTCTCACCAAGATGCATCTAAGTAAAAGAGGAGCACTTAAAAGCAGACTGAGGGGGGAAAAACTTCTACAGAGACTTAAGTGATGACTTCTCAAGAATGAGGAAGGTGAATTAAAGACATTTTAAGATAAAAAAAAAAGTTACCAGATCCACATTAAAGGAAAAGTCTCAAAGATTTACTTTAGGAAGAATGAAAATGATTTCAGAATGAATGAATGCTAAGTTAAAAAAAAAAGCAGTAAATGTGAATGTAAATTTAAATAATCACTGACTACATAAAACAGTAACAGTGTTCAACAACGACCGGTATGGGTTAAAAATCTAAAATATTTTACAACAACGGTGCAAAAATCAGGAGAGTATTGATCAAGGTTAAAGCATTTTAGGTCATTACACTGTTAGGAGAGTGAAAATAATAATTAACTTGCCCTGACCCTGGGGTGGCGCCCTGGCCGGATCCCTGTCCTGTGCACCGGGAGGCCGAGGGCTCGGTTTCCGGTCAGGGCACATGCCTAGGCTGCACGGTCCACCTCCAGGGGTACATCCTGGAGGCAACCGATCCATGTCTCTCTCACACTGATGTTTGTTTGCTTTTCTCTCTCTAAATTTAATAGAAACACATCCTCGGATGAGGATTAAAAAAAAAGAAAAAAGAAATTAACTTTAGACTAAGTGAAATAGTCAGGCTATATATTCCTAGAGGAACCACAAAGTACAGAAGCAGAATGTTTAATTTCTGATCTTGTAAAAGGAATGAGGGAAAGGTCTTGATCAAGAAAATGCAGACAGCTTCTGTCACTCTCATTAAATGTACTTTTTTTTTCCTCCCTTGGAAAACATACTGTGTGTGTGCGCGTGCTCTGGTTACAATGTTGGGTAATATGAAAAGGTAACTGATAGAGAAAACATTTTTTTTTTCTTTTTCATGGCACATAAAACACAATCTAACTTTTCCATTAGTTCAAATTAATGCTCA